AAAAAAAAAAAAAAAGTTTATGCTTTGTCAAATTCGTTTTCTAACAAAAAATATTCTAATATACCGAACATAAACTATAAATAATAAAAAAAAACATCAATTCCCAAAAAATATCCATTCACAAAATAATTTGTACATAAATCAATATACCAAACATAAACTATATGTATAATAACTGTACATATCCCTAAAATGTACATATACTGAACATATACTGCCTATACACGTTACATATAACCAAACCATATAACAAATTGTTGCTTTATCTGATATCTAAGTTCCAACAAACAATAACCGCAAAGAAGAAATTAATTCATAGAAGTAAAATTCTCAGAGATCTCGCGAATTACCTCAGGGGAATTAACAAAGATTCACATAAAGCTTATTTAAATTTCACAAAATTAATAAATAAATAAATAAATAAAAACATAAAAAGTGAAAAAAGAATAACAAGCAGAATCATTAATCCCAAGAAAGAAGAACAAGCAATACTATTCACAATTTTGATAATAAAATTGATGCTAAGAGGACTCTGCGTGAGATCAAGCTTCATCGGCATATGGATCATGAGAAAATCGATTGCTTAACAATTTTTCGATTGCTTAACTGTGAAAATCGATTTTTGAAGAAGTCTTCTCGAACAGCTCGTTTTTTACCTAACGAAATATGGATGAGATTTGTGGGTTTGGGTTAATTAAGGATCTAAATTCTCACTAAATTAAGGATTTAAATTTCATTAAGGATCTCAGGTATAATTGTAAAATTTTTAACTTGGTTTAGACATTTTATAAATAAAAATATAAGATGTATATAAGTGTAATATAAATCATATCGGATAGTAAAGAGTGTAAATTCCTCTAGTGTTTTTTCTTTTCGTTGTAGGAGTTTTTCAGGTAACTATATCCTTAGAACAGTGGTTGCTAGTTCGGTTCATTGTGGGTTGGTTTGATTAGGGTAGAACAAGGTCCCAACTTATTCTGCCTTGGCTACGGTTTGTGATGTGTCTAGGTTGCTTTCGGGCATGTTCCCCCAATTTGTTTTTTTTTTTTAGTTTGTTGTGAGTTGGGTGTTATCCATTGTGTTCGAAATATGTTCGCGGTTCCAAGTTGTTATATATAGCTTAAAAAAAAAAAAAATGAAAAATACCATCGGTCTGTGCTTCCATAGACTCGAGTGCTTTTAGCTCCATGTGCTGGTGATATTGGTTATACATGTTCACTTACTATCTCTGGCAGCGATGCTACAAGGGATGGTATTTTTCATCGAAAAATTGCATCGAAGCAAACCAATGACAAAATAAATCAAATTAAGCCACCCATCTTTTACTACAACCAAAAGTTTCTTACCAAATCTTTTATTTATATATAATACATATTTTTTTAATTTTTCAATTCTTTTAATTAAATATTAGTCTGAAATATATTTTTTCCTACAAATCCAAACACAAAAGAAATATAAACACACACACACACACACATCCAAACACAAAAGGCCATCAACCAACTCACTCAACCTCCACGCCTGATGTGTGATAACTATTTCCGCTTCTTCCGTCCACATAGGTGTGTTCCCTAGCTCCCGGTCCCCATTAATGAGAATTGACTAACGAATGCAGCATATCACATTGTACCTTGAAATTCTTCAAGTGCACTTTTCTTCTCACATGCTCTATGCAATAGGCACACTGAGTGATCCTGCTGCAAGCAACCTCGGCAACAACTGCACCACCATAATCCAAATATACGTCTTGCACCACAAGAGATTCTTGTAAGAAAAAAATAAGAAACATAAAAATACCTCGCCAAGTCGAGCTTTAATTTTCAGAGGAACAAAATCATCAGCTCTGGTTACGCCGATGTTAACAATGGCAGTGGCAGCACCAGCCTCATGAGCAGCCCTTTAACCGTCAACCGAGCAAAACCTCATTACCAGCGCCTTGTATAAACATGAAGACAAAATTATATTAACAATTTACCGGATGAGGCGGAAAGCAGACATGGTCATCAATGATGAACCAAGAACAAGGAAACCATCACATTCTTTTGCAGCTTCCAGAGCTTTATCAGCCCTACACTTGGGGACATTATCGCCGAAAAAGACAACCTGAAAACGTATTGCGTAAATGAAAGAGTAAAAGACTGCAAGTTAATTTACAAGTGATTCCCCAAGTCACAAAATAGAAGTTACATTATTTTGACACCAAAACTCATCATGAATCAGACACAAACTTTTAGATTCAACACACAATTATGAACAATAAATTGCTTTTCTAATAACAATTATATTGACATTATGCACAAGAACTCAAAAAATGAGTGCACATAAACCAAGAGTTTTGTACGAGTGCATAGAGCCAGCTACCTCTCTGGGTAAGGAGGAAAACGTTTACTACACTCTCTTCCCACAAAGATAGGGCACAACTATTCCAGGTATCCAACAATACAGGCTTTTAGTTTTTGTAGAGTATGTAAAATGTTAAGTTTCTACTTTTGCCCTTATTTAATTCATGTCGCTACCAATAAATAAGTTATAGAAATATAGTTATAATTGTTTAAGAAGGTATATATGGAGTATTTATATTCCTTTCCTAACAAGAATGATTGTGTTTTCTTAAACGGTGTGCGGAGCAGTAAGTCTTATCTTTGTGGGCCGGATGGAGTACATAAAAGGAAAGGGATAAAAAGGGACACTTTATTGAGTAAAGCTTAAACGGCAAATAAAAAATGATGCCTGATTATTAGGAGGGTATTACATAACCGCTTACAGAGTTCTAATCACACACCAAAAAACCTGTCTAATTTTGGAACTAAATCCTTGTCTAGTTCCTGTCCAAGGGATCTTATCAGAAAGCAATTTATGAAGTGACATTACTATATGATGTTACTGTAGAGAGGAAACAAGCTAAAAAAAAATAGGACTTCTGAGAAAAGCACTTTTTTTTGGGCAAAATTCACAGAATTTGTGTGGCAAATACTAGCTTTCAGAAAGTTGTCTTCTCAGCATGATGGAAAATGTTGTTCTTAGTTACAAGAAGCCAAAATAACATGAAATTGGCAATTGCTTACATCAGGTTTCAGTATTCCACTACACCTCTCGCAAACAGGAATGAGGAAGTCTTCCTCCCAGAACTTCTCGTCAATCTCAATATCACCATCAGGCCTTTGTTTCATACCAAAGCTCTTGTCCGACTGGCTGTTGTAGTCCAGGTTTTCAATTGCTTCTGCCCACTGCAATTACGTTAAAAATTCTAGCATGATATTTCAATAGACCATAGCAGTGAGTGGATAAGCCTGTATAACAACAACAACAACAACAACAACAACATAGTCTTTTTGTCCCAAGCAAGTTGGGGTAGGCTAGAGATGAAACCCAAGAGAACCAACGGTAAGAGAAACATGGCTCAAAACAAAAGGAAGAGATTGGATAAGCCTGTATAAAACAACAATAAAGAAGAGAGCTTGTAATATAGCTTTACAGTTCTTTTGGTTCTCATTATTTGATGTACAATAGGGGAAAACACATACACTCCACTCCAGGAAAAAAAAAAAAAAAAGCAGCTTGTACTTTTTCAATATTCCTCGGTGGATACAGATTAAGTGCCTTTTCGGTGAACTCAAAGTAGTAAGCATATTGTTATTGAAGTTACTAAATCGCATATGAGCACGGGAAATAACCAGAAAAGAAAAACAAAATACATAAGAAAATAGTCATGCCAACATTCAAGAATTTTGGTTTTTTTAAGCCATCAATCTTATTAGATCAGACAACTGCCTACACATAAACCATGGGAGCATTCACATCCAAATACAATAGTCTGAACAAAAATTATTTTGCAACAGTTTCAGCAGAGATAAAATATGCGTATCCATAACGTAAGTCTACGAACTCTGACTACAATACAGTTTCAAGAGTTGCAAAGAGATATTAGAAAACAATTGACTCTCATTCAGAATTTGAGAAAAGAATAGCCAATAATGACAACCTATTAAACAAGGAAACTCAAATATGAGTTTACTCTTACAGAGCCACCATCCGTTATTGGTCAATTACTTGAAGCAATGTCCTAGCTTAAAGAATATCGATGTGTGAGAACCAACCTTAGGATTAAGAGCCTTCACATGGTCCTGAAATGAATCTCGTGGAAGAGAAAAACCACATTCAGTACAAGCAACTACATATACAGTTCCATGCAACTCAAGAGGATTGCTGCCAGCACGATGGTGCAACCTGTGAACAAGAAATAAAATGTATTCATCATCAGTTGAAAACCATAAGTGGTGGATTCACGAATTTTATAAGAGAAATACAAGTACAATCAAACTTAATATGTTCGAGTAAAAAAAAGTTTAAACATCAGTTGCTAGTTATCTTTTCAAATTCAAAGGTTATGGTACCACTAAAACATTTTTTTTTGTTATTTGTGAGACCAAAATTTATGACTAGTATAAAAGGAAACAAATAGAAAAATAGATTTATGTATAACTAATATCGATTCTCAAGTGCCTATATCAATTCTCAAGTGTGTGTGTGTTTGCGTGTGTCCATCTATATGATTACATTGCATTCAAGTTATAAAGGTGATGTGGCAGTACTCAACAAACCTGCACTTCCTACGCATGGTCACATTTAATGTCATCAATACCGGTAAAAGATTTACATTAAGCATTAAAGCAGTTTCAGTTATGCCTCTTTTCAGTGAATCTGAATACACCCAAACATTTGATAACTAGATTTTAGTGAAGAGTCATTACCGATCTACATTTTGTGTCATCATAAAATTTACACGGCCAGCTTTCTCAAGAGAAGCTAATGCGATATGCGCCGGCCCTGGTTGTGCTGCAGCAAATCTTCTCCATCCAGCATAGCTCCTTGCCCAATACCGCCTTCGGGCTCGACAGGAACGAATAAATTGCTGTTTGTTGAAATAGTGATTGAGTTTTATATTTTCAAATCCCTTTCATGTTCAATAACACTTATATACAAATGTTTGCCTTCGCAAGTTTCTTTGATATTATTCGAGCAAGCTTAAACCTTCTCATTACACGGCTCCTAAGTGATAAAAGGCAAACGACTGCATCTCTTTCTTTTTTGATTACCTCAAAAAAGTTAAGGGGAAAAAAGAGAGAGAAAAAGGGTAAGGCAACAACAAAGTCCTCGGAGAAATGACTGGAGAAAAATATGCTGGTAATCCATCAATTTCAACATGAATATCATTATCCTCAGAACCAAATAATGAGAAAGCATTCCAGAACACAAGCATACCCATTAATACTCAAAATTGTTCTTGTTCTGCCTCAGGGTTTGAACTAGTTAGATATCTATGATTGGTTTTCTCAAATGCACAGCGAAACATATATAATGGCCTATTGCTTTAGCACTTGCATTCAATGAGTGTGAATAGTCATACACAAATAATGTTGGTACGCACAATTATCATACTAACCTATAGGCAAAATCACGCACGGCACCATTTTAAGTACTGTAGAGCCTAAAGCGAAGAAGAGAATTGTTAAATTTCTTAAAATTGTATAATAATGGAAAGGGTAATTGTTAGCACATGCCTTCATATCACCTGATGAGTAATCGGCCGGAAACCAGTACTGTAAGCTCCGTTAGGGCTGCGACGACAATAAAAGGAGATTTAGCAATTGTCTACAATAAGATAACATTAATTCTAAATGTTGAAATAAGATCAGGGGTGATTAAAGGAGATCGTGTTAATGTAATGCACACATTAGTCATCATCAATCATCATCAACATACCCAGTATATTCCCAACATACCCAGTATACCCAGTAATGCACACATTAGTGCTTAATGAAATTCTTAAGCTGACTTATCCAAGAAAAAATCTGCTCACTCGACTACAGGGGTGAACATCAAAGTGGAACTCAAAAATGACAACATATGAGAAATAAACATCATAAGCAAATACTAAATCTAGATTCAACACCATAATACATACTAATGTGCATGTACATTACGGAAGTGGCAATCTCACAAGGCTCGAGGTCACGAATGTACAATTAATGTTGAAGAAATAAATAAAAGATCACAATCCCCGTACTAATTGATATTCTCTTTTGGTCAGACTAAATAGTTACATCAATGGGGTGCATTTAAGCTGTTCTGAAGAAGAAATCCGGAAAACAGAACATTTCAAAATTTATTTGAGAAAATTGATGGAAAGAGATCTAAAAATCCGATCAATCAGGAAATCATAAGGAAAAGAAAATGTATGAGCTATATTATCAGTTATGTTGCTACAAGATTGAGCAAATAATAAGGAATTTGTGTTCCTGCAAAAAGTTCAAAGGCCAAATTTGATTTTATAAATTATTCCAGAAAATATTGTACTTATACAATACAGTCCAACAAGACAAGAACCTACACGCAAGTACAATAAATTTTATTATGCTTCAGTTACATTCCTCACAAAATCTCATACTCACATTTGAGGTTTGAAGCATTAAAAAATATGGAGCTAGAAGATTATAAATATTTTAATTGTAACTATTGCTACTAAATAAATGGGATATCGACAAGGTGATAACCGATAGAGAGGGTTGAGAATTCACCTTCTATAATCAGGAATACCACTCTCTGTGCTTATCCCAGCTCCAGTCAAGATAACAAGCTTTGAGCTGCAATTAATCCCAAACATCTTCACACATTGTACTAGAAACATCTTTTAGCTCAATTAAGCGACTACCTAACTTTTTAAACTAAAACTAGAGGAACTAAAAATGCTGATAATCCTTAGTTTGACCCAATAGAACACCAACCTCACCAGATATACAAAACCACCATACTATGTATCAAATGTGTAAAAAATAATTAGAACAGGAAAATCCATTTTCATCTGACAAGATGACATTAGTAAATTAGAATTGTTTTCCAGGAAGTCTATGAGCAATACCAGTAGCATCAATATAGAACACTTCTAGATAGGTTAGATTAGAATACCAAAGATATATCTTGTAGCAATACTTTTTTCCACTCACAGTCATAAGCAATACAAGTATTCTCTCTTACAGAACGAAAGTACGCAGTAGAATAAATATTCTATGCTGATAAATTGAAGGCTAAGGTTTTTCCTGCCTTATCTTTGTATGACTTCTGATATCATACATCTTATTGAGTTTCTAAACTTAAATCTCAAGAAAAAAGAATCAACTTAAGGAAAGCCAGATTTCACAAGTTTTAACATATTTCTGGGTGTTCAAGTAGTTTCTAATGAATTACTGTCAAAAAGGTTACTTCCAACTTCATTGGATATTGCTGGAAACCATTATACCAAGTATCAAAGAACTGATGCAAACGATTGATATCGTCATCACTGGGAGGATCTGAATCAGGAACCATCTTTTTGTCTCTCAAGAAATTCGAAGGTATTTCTTTATTATCCATGGAAGCCCCAGAAGGCCTAATGGAGTGTGTTCTCTGCATGAGCTTGAGAGATCCCTGAGAAGATATGAACTTTGATCCCCATAATGTTTCTCTAAATCTAGCAATTGATTGGAGAGTGTCTGCACAAAGATATCATACAAGTGACTGATCAGTAATACAAAGAAGAAAAATAAAAAGTTGCACATCGAGAATGATCGAACTTACGCAGATTTAGGAGAGGCGGGTTGCTAGCCAGAGACGTTCCAAGAAACGATATTGCACCTCTGACCTTTTTCATGTTCAAATAATCAAAGATTTAATTAAAATATCAACAAAATCTAGCAACTTTTTCTCTTCACATACAATGATTTTCATGCATAATTCGACATTGTATATCATCGTATTCAGATTTGCAACTAACTTCAATTTTCCGAAGATATAAACGGCCCATCAAAAGCATCAAAAGTGCGCACATTTTGCCTCGGTATTAGCCCAAATTAGAATCCAGAATCAGGGGAAATCGGGAGGTCAAAACCCATTTCTTTCCAACTCCTTCCAAATCATTCTTAGTTGACGTTTTTTTATTATTATTATTTATTTTTTTTTGGTACAGGGACCTTCCGATTTCCGGATCCACAGGGGAACCGACTAATCCGGAATCGAGCCGGGTAGGACCACAAGGACGGCAAAGCTCCCTCAAGAGTTTTATTATTATTTGAATGTTCATTGGTGATTTGGTTTGCATATGTAACCCTAGGAATGATAAAACTTCCCAACTCTCCTGAACAGATGACAGAAATAGGTTATTATAATGTCCAAATCGTGAACAAAAATGGTTTTCTTCAAATAATCACATCTCCAAGAGATGCAACTGAAGTATGAGTTCATAGTAAGCTTCTGCAGGGAAGAAAAAGAGAGCGAGCGAGCGATCGAGAGAGAACTTACAGAAACGAAGTGTGGAGAGCGCAGAGCTGCCATGGCTATTGGATTTCAGGTTTACCATTTCTTGTTAGATTTCCCTAAGGTGGGTAACATCTCGATCGTTTATTAGGATTGTGATGTGATGAAAAGGGGTTGAAATTCAGTTGCGCAGTTTTATTCCACGTTGCATCTATGTACACCGCTCACAACTGTCTGATGAAAAAAAAAAAAAAAAAAAAAAAAAAAAAAAAAAAAAAAAAAATTGCCAGAAACTGTTAAAAAATTGTTGGATGATATTGTGATTAATGACTTGAAATTATTTTACAAGAATAACATAAATAATAATATTTTTCATGACTTGTGGTATGTTTTCATGTTGCTTTTTTTTTTTTTTTGTACAATAAAGGAGGCTAAAAGCCTAAAAGGGAACACTAAATGGCTATACTACGTGGATGAGCAACATCCGCTAAGTCGTGTTCCAACCAAATCTTAACCCCATTTGGTTTTTTCATGTTGCTTTTGGTTAAGGTTAATTGGTAAAATACACTAAACCTGATATAGAAAATAAAAATAGCTCTATAGAACCTGTCAAGGTTAGCTCGGGTTAGGGACTGGAGTTAGCTAGGACGGCTGGTTTAGAAACAGCTTACCAATATTAATAGCTCGACACACAAATAGCTCGGGCAAAGACATTAATATTGATAACTAGGCATAGGTGTAGCTCGACTTTTATGAGGCTTGAAAATATTAGCAGATCGGCACATAAGTAGTTCAGACAGTATATGGCTAAGTGGATAAGGGTTTTGCTAGTCTTAAGCTCGATATAGTGTAGCGAAGACGTCTTGCACTGGGAAGTGGAACTGTAGAGTCATCTTATAGCTAAGGGTCGACCTATCGAGGCATCTTACAGCTAATGACCGACTTATAGAGGCGGTGATATAGCCCTATAAGGATATACCGAGCCAAAGGCCCTCTCCCCTCGAATTTTTGGTTATCAGCTCCTCTCACGCATCGACTCGGGACGAGAAGGTGCTTGAGTCGACTTCGTTTAAAGTCGATCCGACCGTAAAACAGAGTATCAAATATTCGAGAAGTCGGCACAGGTCGACTTCTAAAGATCGACTTGCGTCGGTCGACCTCCCTAGAAGTCGACGTATAATTGAGAACTTATGGAAACGACCCCTGAACAGTAGGAACATGAGTGGTTACAGGAGTACTCGAGGTCGACGTCCCATATCTCGACACATAAAGCATGTAGTCGACCTCAGCGCGGCGTATTCATTAGAACTTATCCACCCATGGATAAGAAGGGATCTGGGAGATGACTCAGCAAGGGGGGGAAGGCGAATCGACCAGGGCAATTTGGACCTTTCAGGACCACCGACTTGGGGCATTTCAGGCATCTCAGGTAAATTCTCCCTCCTATATAAAGGAGAAGAGGTAGCCCTAAACCCTAACTCCCATTCATTCCATATTTTCCTCCATTGCTGCTGCTCTCTCAGAGCAGTTCCTCATTCTGTTCACATACTGACTTGAGCGTCGGAGACTCTACGCCGGAAACCCCTCCGGCGTTGAGTTCTTGCAGGTGTCCCCGCGGTCCAGTAGCAGTTTAGAAGCCGTCAAGTCGGATCTGAGTTCACCCTCACCGGTTCGCTCCAGATCTGAGCCCATTCTCATCAGATCACCCCGGATCTGGAAAGAGACCCATCATTTTGGCGCCGTCTGTGGGGAGTTCTTGAAGGAATTAAGAGCTTCGCACCTAGATCCGATCCGTCGCCGATGGCTGAGAAGGAAGGTTTACAGAGGAATTTGAACGAGGAATTTAGGGGAACCTGGACAGAAAGGAGACCGCCCCCTCTCTCTGTCCCCAGACCCCCGACGATGCAGGCACTGGGAATACCACCGTTTGGAGGACCCCCACCCCCGGCAGTGATTCTGGGTGGAGAAACGCCTATTACTCCGCCCGGAGTGAAGGTGCCGGTGCTGACCTCAGCAGGAGCAAGCCAAAACCCCAATACGGGCGGAGGAGAGCCAACGGAGATGTCTCGACGCGCGGGAAAGCAAATCCAGGAAGGGCCAGAACAAACGCTCGTCCCATCTCGGGTCGAGGAGCAAACCGTAACAATGACGAGAGATGAGATGCAAAGGATGATAGCGGAAGCAGTGGCAGCTCAGCTCAAGCAAGTTCAGCCCGAACAACCTAGGGTCGAGCCACTAAGGATCGAACAGCCAAACATCGAACGTGAACAACAGGCCCAGTCCAACGAGAGGCAGAATAGGATGGCGGAAGAGGAGGCTTCCTCTATCAGGACTGTTAACCCACAAGGGAGAGATGAAACGCTGGAGCAATTGCTGGCCCAAGTGCGTGATTTGCCAGCCCGAGTTGAGGGAAGAAAAACCGGTGGCTCGAGAGAACATCCGTTTTCACAGCATATCCTCGACGCTGATCTACCACAAGGCTTTCGTGATTTGAACATAAGCTACAACGGGTCGACCGACCCTTCTCGGCATATGAGGAGTTTCGAGAATATGGCGGTGCTCCATCGCTACAACGATCCAGTGCAATGTCGAGCTTTCCTGACAACTTTACGAGGTTCCGCTCAGGATTGGTTCCACCAGTTACCAGCAGGAGCTATCAAGGATTTCGAGGGGTTCAACTCGAGTTTCCTCAATCAATTTGCTAGTGTCAGGCCACAAGAGAAGTCGTATTTAACATTGATGGGCATACAACAGAAAGAAGGCGAGTCGTTACGAGATTATGTGGCGAGATACACACGGGCCTGCGTCGAGGTGCCCAGAGCGTCAGAGGAGATAAAGGCGGGGGGCTTGACCCGAGGGCTACTGCCAGGGTTGTGCAGGAACTCTTTGGCCAAGCGCCCAGGCATAACGTTTGATGAGGTGCTTGGAAGGTGTGCAAAATACATGAACGTCGAAGAAGCAGAGGCTGACTTCTCGCAGGCATCTAAAACGATAAAAATAGACCCTCGAGACGAGAGAAAAGAAAAGAGAGTTTCCTCGACTGGAGAGAGAAAGGGGTCCCCGCGAACAGAAAGGGAAGGACGGCCTAGAGGTTGGAGGCCGACTCATTACACCCCCCTGATGGCTCCACAAGCTAGGATCTTGGAAGTAATGAAGAGGGAGATTCGCGACCATGTGGTAAGATGGCCTAAGACAAGGAATGATGGACCAACGAGGCCTAAGAGCAACCTATACTGTCGATTCCACAAGGACTACGGACACAACACCGACGATTGCAGACACCTCAAGGACGAGATAGAAAGGTTAATAAAGGCCGGCCATTTGAAAGAATTCATATACAAAGATCGAGAAAGGACAAGTCGAAGGAAAGAAAGGAGTAAGAGTCCTCGTAAGAGGACAAGGTCACCAGAAAAGGACGAGCTCCCCCTGAAAAAAGGGATAATTCACATGATCTTTGGTGGTCCGACTGACGGAGATTCAAACCGAGCTAGAAAAGCATACTCCCGAGGGAAGCATGCCAAAGTCGAGATACACCAAGTCGATGAAGGGGGTCCGGTGATGAATTTTGGACCAGCGGATGTAGGAGAGGTCGAGAGGCCTCACAATGATGCTCTAATGATAACCGCTTAGGTGTCGGGCTATGAGGTGCAAAGGGTTTTTGTCGACACTGGAAGCTCAGTAAATGTGATCTTTTACGATTGTCTCAAAAGGTAAGGTTAATCACACTCTATATTCTAAGTTATTCTATACAGTTCAATACACCTTTACATAACATTTACTGATTTGATCGTCAGAGGTTTAATGTCGGGAACACCTGGTGAAGATATGGTCTTCGACCCCTCTAGACCCAAGGATGCAGGAGCTTCCAACTGAGACAAAGGACGCGAGAGTAGGCAAGCGGTCCAACGGGGACGCACGAGAAAAGCTCACGCGGACGTAAAGGAACGCGCGCGGAAATATCGCGCAAGGCATTGGCGCGCAAGGTGTGCGAATGTGGAGTCCAGACGCGCTAAAGAGGAACTCGCCTGAGAAGGTCGCCCGAGGCGTGCGGACAATCAGCGAGGACGCGCGGGCATGGGTCAGACGACTTATTATGGGTTGGTCAGGCATGGGACTGATATGGGTGAGTTGGACGAGCGCGTGTCTAATGCACATGGGCGTGGCGGCCAGCAAAGATGCTAGCGGGCCACGCGAGCTGATGCAAGGTGGCACACGCTGGCGGGATGCGCAACCCTACGAGGAGACCGACTCACGGGCCGAGGCTTCTAAAGGCATGCAACCCAAGCAAGGCCGAGATCTCTGTAAGATGGTGGTTAATTTACTTAACATATTAAGATATTATTTCCCTTAGTCTAATTAGTATGTGAATAAAGGCATGTGCCTAATTAGTTATTAGGTAATTCTAGGATACTTAGTTATTTATTTCCATAGATTAGAATTCTAGATCTCGTAGGATTAGACTTGGTTAGCCTCTATAAATACTAGTCATTGTCATTCAAATTAATCATTCGAGAACTAAAAAGAAAAATTGTCCAATTGGGCAATCTCTTGTGTGATAAAGCTAAGCTATTAGAGCGGGTTTTTCAACAATATATCGTGTCTAAAACGAATATCGTTAGTGCACATTATACAAAAATTGAGTCAAGATACATGATTCTTCATCAACACCTCCCGGCATCTTTGCAGGTTTTTGGGGAGCAAGTTAGACGAGGATTGTTGGAGAGCCGGTTCGAGGTGCGAGAGCACATAAAAACCCCTTATTATATGTGCGCGTTTTTTTATATTTAAAAACTAAATGAAACTTCTAATTTTCAATTATAGGACAATGATAGGCAGAATTCTGAGGTGAACATGTAAGATCTATAAGAAAACATTAGGTAGAACTCCGAGATGATGCTCGGAGGTCTTTCAAATACAGATAGGCAAAACTTTGAGCTAAAGTTCGGAGGCCTCAAAAGTAAACGTAGGGCAGAACTCCGAGTTGCAACTCGGAGGTCTACGAATGAATATTGTCGAGCATAACTCTGTGCCTTAGCTCGGAGGCTCAGGTAATGACAAAGAAAAAATCTCTGTATAAGACTAGTATTAATAGGCCTCAACCAAGCATAATAGAAGGAAGAAACAATATGGGTCATATATAATATTCAGACTAAAGCATAAAAGCCAAATAGTCACGACATTCATAGTTTGAAAGTCATTACACCAAATCCCTCGTGGGGGCAACTTGAGATAGCATAAAAGAAATCAAAAACGAAAAAGCCGAAGGGGATGCTGAAGAAGACTCAGCACCATGATCATGTTTGGCTCGGGCCATAACACCAACAGCCGCCACTCGCTCAAGGGTGGCAGGGACAGCTCCTTCCCACTAGGGATGTTCGGCATGCTCATCAAGGTTCCCTTTCCAACATACAAGTTAGGGAGATTTGACCACACCTAGTCATCATTAAAAAAGCTTGTGCAACCACCAGCGGAAGCTTGCGCCCGAGTCTTGGTAATGTCGACTTCAAGTTACTGAAGGGTCGTCGGTGAAATTGTGTGCAGAAACTCCTCCAAGTTCTTGAAGTTATCAACCAGTAATTGTCGGTACTACTCCAAGAATGCTCTCACTCGATCAGAGGTCGAAAAGAAAACTAGGCCCTCATCCTGGGCTGCAGCCTCGCGTTTATCTTGGGAGGTGGTGAGTTTGACCAACTTTATCTGCAGAGGAATGGCCTCGGCAGCCTCGGCCCTTGCCTTCTCTAACTCGGGCCTCTCATTTTTCTGAAGTTCCTCGAGCCCGACCACCTTGGCCCTAACAGCTTTCAATCGGGCATTAAGATTGGTAATCGTGGCATCACGACGCTCCAGAGTAGTCTTCAGAGCTATCATCTCAACGGTAGGGTGCTCTCCTGATAGCTCTCGCTGAACATATATGTAAGTCTAGCTAACGCCTACAAAGGCCAAAGCATGGTAAGGAAAGACGTGTTCAGAAAAAGCATAGTATGGAGCAATAAATAAAAGAGAGAGAGAGGAAGAACTTACCTAAATAATGTGATTCAGGATGTAACCTGCCCGAACACCTCGCCAGCATTTGTCTCTGATGGGGGAAAAATGTTCACCAGGCAGGCCGCTTGCTCAGATACATTTCTGGAAGTATCAAACTGTGATGGTTGATGCACACCTCTCATCTCCCTGGGGTCTTCAGCAGGTTCAATGCCAGTCCGGGTCCTCTTCCTTGAAGAATCGGTCTGTTCAAGCTCCTCACCCTTAGAAACGATCTGAACTGAAAAAGTGGGGGCTACCAAAGAAGTAGTGCAACTCTGACCGACTATCACCGCCATAACTGCAGCAGCTCTGACCTTGCTCGTACCACCTTCCTTAGCAGCTTCGTTGTGATTGGACGACGGCCAGTCCGTCGGCTAGTTGAAGCAGAACCTGAGCAGCGTTAAGAATGGCGTCTGCAATGCAAAAAGAAAGAGACGTGGTAAGTCGAAAAAGTAGAATACCTCGCTCAAAGACTCTTGCCATGATAGAGACGTGGTAAGTCGGAAAAGTAGAATCCAGGTGAAGCTCTTCCCTAACAAGAACTTTCGGTTTGGAGGTATGTGGTCCTATATATGAACAATAAGTAATTATCTCGATACACACAATCCCACGCTTATTCCTTGTACTCTATTTTTGCAGTTTGAGCGAGTTTTGACTTGAGCGTCGGATAGTTTTCCGCCAAGATCCTAGCGTATTGCAGGTTATCGGGAGCTCAAGGAAGAGGACTGTTCCAAGTGGAAGGTGTTCAACCCGATCGTAACCAATGAGACGTAAGCGTTTATGTGAAAGCAAGATTCAACTTTTTTCCCTATTTATGCATAATGATATGTAATTTAGTTTTCATTTCACTTATTTATTTTACTCTTTGGTTTAACTTTATGCATGGCAATGCATTTTACCTTTCATTGTACAATTTGGTTGTTATTTTGTATAAAAATCTATTTCTCAATCAACTCTATATTGAAACATCTAACTAGTATTCAATACCACAAATCGATTAGTCTGATTAATTTCCCTGTAACAAAAGGTACGGCAATTGGCTATTTTTTCATTTTTTTTTTTCTCTCAGTAGACATAAATGTCTAAAGGTGAAATTAATGGTATTCTATGATGATGGCAAGAAAGTAGAATGTTAAAGCTGCGTCTTGCTTCTGATATTTGCCTGGTCATTATTATAATTTATACTCTTCCATAAACTTAAAACATCTCAATAGCTACAAACTAAAGGATACATCCTATTAAATAGACCAAATGCATGACTAAAACAAATTTCATTCATATGTGGTGAATGCTCCATTCTCACAATACAATAATAACAAAAAAAAAAACATATTACATATTTTGAGGTCCCTAAGCATACAAGAATGCTGCTAACTAATAATACTATTTGTACAAACGAAACTAAGTTGCATTCTGATCTGACCATTCTCCAGCGTACCATAAAATTCAGCTCATCACCATAATGAGACACTACAAGATAAGGTTTCGGATATCTTCGTTTGACTCCTCAAAATTTTGATGTCATCATCCACTGTCTAAATCAACACCAACCAAGCCCATCAAATTTGACTTAGGGGTGTCTATATGTACACCCCCTTGTGTGTAAAAAAGGGGTGTACATATAGCATTGCCCTTTGTGTAATTTATTAAAAAGGGGTGTACATATAGCATTGCCCTTTGACTTATCAAACCTAGTAAGTTCCTAGTACTAACAGTAATCCTCAAAACCATATTCTTCTCCCCTTTTTTTTTTTTTAACTATTTCCTTTGTGTAATGGCTATGGAGAATGGTGATGAATCAAGGTTTCAATAACCTCTAAGCAACTAGAGTGATGTACATTTTACTACACTATACTATGTTTATAGGAATTAGTTACATCCCCAATCCATAGATCAGAATTCAAAAGGGCTTCTGCATGTAGGAAGAGAACACGTCCTGAAACATGGAGTAGTTATCATTATACTGCATTTGGGTGCCGAACGGATCATCCCCGAATGCGTCCATGTAGCCGAGCTGAAAATCGAGCGAGTTTTCCAGCTCGCTCCACCTGGGCTCACTCTGGACTTCCTTACTATTATCGCCACAACCAAACTCGGGCGACAGAACATGCTCCGAGCTACTCGAGTCCGTATGCAGTTTTGGAATCGAGTCACACGGGTCAAACTGCAAGTAGTCGTTCATTCCCTGTGGGGCCCTCCCCATGGCCGGTTTCGACCCGATGTTTGGCTTTTGTTCCTCGCTGTCCGAGAAGTGCACGTCCTTCGTTTGGTCCACATTGTAGTGCTTCTCGAGGGTCCCTTTCTTGTTGTATATTCGACATAAGACCCACTCATCAAGCTGCAAATAATTAATCAATGAAATTAATTTCAATCTCACGATAAAATGATCTACCCTCTTGAAAGAATCCAATCCAGGGAAAGAGTGTGTAAAGTACCCTGAGATTGTTGCCCTTGCTGTTGCCGGCAGATCGGTCAACGTTGGCCAGGCGGTACTCATGCATAATCCAGTTGGTTTTGACTCCTCTTGGGGCTTTCCCGGCATAAAACACGAGAGCTTTCTTGATGCCGAGGGTCTTGGGCCGGCCCACGGGTTTATCGGCTCCCGTGGCTTTCCAGTAACCGGTCCCTGCAGCCCGGTTGGGCCGTGAGCCGTTGGGATACTTGCGGTCTCTTGGGGAGAAGAAGTACCACTCTTTTTCACCGTACAGTGCCATTTCTGTTATCCATCCATAGAGAATAATAAGCAAATGAAGAATTGGAAAACTAAAATGGAAAGCAACACAAGAAGGGCAGGTGTACTATCGAAACAAGAATAAACCTAAAGATCTAGAGAAAATATTTCTCTTTGTGTTCTCAGGAATCGGATTAAAACTCCTTCTCCATATTCCTGGGAAAGAATCGTGTTGTTCGAATTGTCGAGAAATTCTTAAACTACAGGAGCAAGACAGTACACAAAAAAGGGGGAAAAATGGAGAATTTTCAGAAAATCAATTCCCACAGTTCAAAGATCATACAACTTCAATTCGCTAAACAGAACACAAAAGAAGAAATGGGCAAAAGAGAGAGAAGACAACATACGAAAAAACAGAAAACAAAACAAAAAATAAAATCGTACCAGGAAGCTCCCATGGATCGAACTTATAGAGATCGATCTCAGCTATAATGGGGACAGAGATCTGCAGCCCCGCACACCGGCGGCAGAGGTAATGCACCACGAGCTCATCGTCGGTCGGATGGAATCTGAAGCCCGCCGGAAAATTCAGCTGACGATCGCCGCCTTTCATTTGCATAATCAAGTGTATAATTATTGTGTTGGATGAGAGCAGTAGATTTTTCAATTCGATTTCAGAACGAAAAGAATGGAAGCTCGGGGCTTCAATATATACTACACGGAGACGGAGGAAGGTTGCAGGTAGAAGGGTATGACTAAGTAGTTATTCCGCACGTGGTTAATTGAACCGGGCTTCTAAAGCATTGTTGTAAAGCGTGCTTTATCGTTTGTACTCTTGTTTGTGTGTGTGTGTGTGGGCGAGCGTTGGAGAGGGATGGCGGCGGGGTGTGGTGTGTGTATGGAGTAAGGACTATGGAGCGTATTGGGACTTGGGTGAGGTAATTATATAACTAGTACCAATCCGTGCAATGCACTGGTAACAAATATTTCCTCCGTTTCAAATTATAAGTCGTTTTGACTTTTTTGATTCATTCATTTTGCTATGTATCTAGACATATTATTATCTAGATACATAGCAAAGTGGATGTATCGAAAAAGTCAAAGCGACTATAATTTGAAACGGAGGGAGTATGTCTTAATATTTATGTATAAAAATATTCATTATATAGTATTTATGAATTTAAAAATATGCAATCGATATGTAATACAAATAACATATATTAATTTATTGAAAATATTATATGACATATAAATGTGCAAAATTATATAAAATAGTCTATTTAAATTTGTACACAATTCGTACGGTTCACGTAACTGATAATAAATTACATTATATTCATTTCAAAATAAGTGTCATGTTAAAATTTTTATTCAGAAATTCAATTTAGCCAACGAAAATGAATTATTCAATTTTGGTCGACATTTGTGAAATTAGTATCAACCTTAGAGTTAGATAGTACTTATTAAATGGTGTTTTAGTACCTGATATCGAGATCTTCAATACCTACTCAAAATGAACAAAAAAGCACCAAATTTCGATCTTAAATTATGTTTATATGACTTAAAATCATTCGCACATTAGTGTCTATGAGATGTAGAATGTGTTTAATTAAGTTTTTCACCACGAATTGGTCATTAACTCAACACACTAATAAACAAACACTACTAATATATTTATCTCATTAAATGATACACTTCATCTCATTGAATGATCATACATTACTACTCTAAATTCTACCTATATATTTTAAAATTCGACTATTTATCAATCGAATCATGCATGAACGATCCACATGACATGGTAGACATGACGAATTAAAGAAATCATGATTATTAAAATGGTACCGGTTTTATAACAAATAGTATCAATTGTTCTTCTGCGTAGTACTTGTATTTTACCAACTACTACCTACTTTGGTCAACGAAAACGAATTACTTCAATTTTAATCAACCTTTACGAAATTAGTACCAACCCTAGAGTTAGATAATACTCAATAAATAGTTTTTTAGTACCAGATATTGGGTCTTCAGTACTAACTCCAACAAACATAAAAAAAAAATCGAATTTCGGTATTAAATGATGTTTATGTGACTCAAAATCATTCTTACATTAGTGTGTGGGTTGACTTCTTGACGAGTTTGATGCAAGGGGACTGTTGACTGAGATTGGAGAGGAGTTGTTGCTTCTTCTTTCTCAACCTTCATTTGCAGCTGTGTGATGTTATCAAGATCCAGAACTTGCAGATATTGTATGGGAACAGTTACAAGTGCCTGTTGTTCAGTGTGCTCCATTAATTCTTCAGCTGATTCTTTTGAGGAGATGGATTCAATGATCTGTTGTTCTTTCTCCTGGTATTTGGAACTGCCTGCTTGCTCTTGAGATCCACCTTCTAATGGCATCTGGCTTGTAGATGGTTGATAAGTATGTGACTGGGGAATGTCTGGTTCTTTGGCTTGGTCTATAGAGGAGTTAGAATTGTTCCAGGTCTGTCCTTGCAAGCCATCAGTTACTCTCAACCATTCACCGAATTGACCTTCTTTTAGGGCATTAGCACATACGTCTGCCATCCTTTGATTGCATCCTTTTTCAATATGACCAATTTTGTCGCAATAGAAACAGAGATTAACAACTCTTTCATATTTGAATGTGACTGTTACTGCTTGAGAAACCCAATCTGATTGAAGTACATCTTGGTAGTGCTTCAGTGATGTCTACTGTGGCTAGGAGTTTAATCAGTCGGCCTCCTTGTGATCCTAGATTGCTACATTTAATACAGATTTGAAAATCCTGCCTGTTTTGAGACCAGCCTCTGATGTGAGCCAATATAACGACACATGATGAATTTTTACCCATAGATTGAAGTCATTGAAGGATTTGTCAATACTCTTAAGACCTTTCTTCCATTTTCTTAGAATTAAATATTGATTCTCAAAAATCCAATTGGTACCATTGGCCACCTTCAATAGATCTTCTTGATTTTCAAAGATGAATTGGAAGAAATTAACCCCTAACTCCCTTACCTCCAGTGTACCCTTCAATCTCCAAATCTGGCCCATTACTTTCTTGATTCCCGTCAGATGAGCACGTTTGTCGCCTACAATTTTCCCGAACAGGCTATGTCGACATTCATCAATACTTGCTTTAACATCATCATCTCCTATATCAGTTATCGCATTCTCTATATTTGAGAGAGAAAAAGCTCGTAATCGCTTAAATAATTCCTTGGCATCGCTGTTGTGGTTGGGATCTTCCATCGTAACCCTAGTTCGAAAGCCCCCAATTGAATTTTTAAATCTTTATAATTCTTTTTTTTTATTTTATTTTTTTTTATATTATATCTAAAATAATCACATTTTAACGATTTTCAATTTGGCATCTATATTCCTGTATAAAATAAAAAATAAATCTATCATTATAAATGAACTAAATTTATTAAAAAAATAATTTCAAAAACATGAATACAACATAAATTATTTTATAACAAATACAATAAAAATCTAATACAGTAATACACCATAAAATAATAATTTTAATGTTTTTTTCATAGATTTTAATAATAAAAAAATTAAGTACAAAAATACGGGGCCCATTTTGAATTAATTACTACTTTGTTAGTTATTCATTTTTTTTTATATATTCATTATACATGATTTTACAATAAAATAAATTATTTAAACTTTACTATTGTACAAATATTAGTTAATTTAAATACTCGTATAGTACACGGTTATCATACTAGTTGATAT